ATATATGAATCAACTTTGAGTCTTGGCTCTTGACATATGCTAGTAAGAGTTTTGACATATGTTGATACTATTGTTTATTATATTCGAATTTTGCATTTGAAAGTTGGGATATGATTTGCTAAATTGGCTTAGTACTGTGTTTTTGTTTTTGTTGACTTTTCTTCATAATTTTTTTTTTCCAATTTGATAGTTGGAGTTTGGACTTATAAAACATAATTTATTTTCGCAGTTATTAACCAAATTGAATATAGCTGAATCGACAGACGAATCGAGTCGAACCGAACCGACTTACGTGCTTATGGTGCAATTGTGGTATGGCAAAAAATTTGGTGATGCGGTCATGGTTTTGGTCGAACCGAACCCTACCATCCCTATCGATGGGTCGAACACAATCATCAATGGCAGCTACTCCATCCTCTCTAAAGCAAGCAGTAACCCTTTGTTAACTACTTTCAATTCTTGCACTATAACTCAAAAAATTAGAAGAAATCTACACAAAAGGAAGAAATTGAAGCGTGAGAATTATACTTACAAATATATGTCTCACTTGCTGCACATTATTTCGGATCGAGAAAGAAGAAGAGATATTAGGGTTAGTTGAGGGTTTTCTTTTGGAGTGAGAATAATGAATCAAAGCTTTTGGTATTACACTATTTTTGGTTAGAGTATAAGAGATATTTTGTATATACATAGGAAAAGACCATTACATCCTTAATGTACGAAGTACAGGATTGCCTCTTTTAGAGAAGTAGGATAGGATCGGATAGGATATATATATGATTTTTGTTTTTTATGTAATATATATAAAAAGGTTTTTAGAGAAGTAGGATAGGATTGCCTCTTTTAGAGAAGTAGGATAGGATAATATATATATAAAAAGGTTTTTTTTTATGTAAATTTTCGAATGTAAATTTATCACACCTTTTTTCGTAAGTTTGATTGTGTCCCTAATTCAAAATATCTGCGTTTTCCACTTTAAAAATTCATTTCTAATTACACATTTGTAAATTCAAATTTTTTTTTCTACATTTTAATTAGACATTCTCCAAAAATTCACTGTTGCAAAAGATATTTTCCAAAAAAAAAAATTTTAAAAATGGGGTCAAAGACGTTATATCATTCATTTCAATGTCCCTATTAATATGGATTACTTTTACATTTTTCATGTGTGAGGTTTTTCATTTAAGTGCCCGTTTGATTCTCATTATTATAGAATAAGAATGAAACATATAGTCGTTATTGAGTCCCACAAAAAGATAAAAATTCAAAATTGATGGTTTGATGTGATGGATAACGATTATATTTTTTATTTTTATGGATGAAAAATGAGAAACAAATGGAGACTAAATTAAGGATTTTCCTACTTGTATCCTACATAAATAAAAGAGTGAATTTTCTTTTCACCATTCACAAATCGTTTGTCCACCGATACCTAGCCGAGTTGGTTGAGCCATGTTAGTCGAGCCATTTTTTTATTTTTATTTTTTATTTTTTTACGTTTGATTAAATATTTTAAGTTACAAATATTCGTTTTAGGAGATTTAAAATTTGTTGGAAATGTTGAAGTGCGACCATGATAAATATAAGATTGATAAATTTTAAATATCAAA